TGTGTGTATTATTAATATATTATTAATATACTACTCATTTTTATAAATGCTAAAATGTATTAATAAAATTTTAGTTTATTTATAAAATGTTTTCAAATTAAATTTTATTTTATATAATTTTGTTCTTATCAAATATATATTCTGTTATAAAAGTTGTTCTATTATATAATGTTATCTAATACAATATAATTATTTATTTTATTTATAACATGCTTATTTATCTTAATATTTAAATAATCTAATATTTAAATAAACTGCAATTTTATTAATTTTAATGTTTGAAATAATTTGAAATCAAACCTGTAATCGTGATCTTTCTATCCTACACAAGATTAAATTAAATAACACTTCCATTAATGCTGTCAATTCAGACAGTGCTTTCATCATTCGAATAACGTCATTTCCAGAATACCAAGCACCAAGTATTAACGGCGGCATTGATCCTAATATATTCAAAATTGCCAAAGTCCAACCGAGATTTCGTAAAAAGATTTCTCGTTTTCCAGCCGTAAATTCAGGAGGCCATGTACTCGTAAAAGTCCCACAAATTTGAAGTATATAAAGTATCTGATGAATTTTTATATGGACTAATACCATTGCCTCCAAATCCAATTTCACATGAAAATCAAACTTCCTATTTTTTACACGAAATACATGTGTACCTGAGTGCACAAGCAATGAAAAGGAGGCTTCAAGCATGACTAGTCGGCTAAATCGATGCTGCATTATTCATTCTTTGTAAAGTGATTAAGAAGAAGATAATTAATAGTTCACATGCAGGAAGAGAATATGGAAAATAGAGTATATAGAACTCTTAAACGTAGCTAACTTTAACTTTCAATTCTATACATTTTACAGCTGCAGCAATCATATATTATAATATTCTACAATTATAATTCTCTTTAATGTCTTGCAATTTCTAGACATTTGTAGACAATTTGTAGATTGTTTCTAAAGAATATCCGATCTATTAATGTGACAAATACAAGTAAATGTGCAATCTACACAATAATGCAAAAGACAATTCAGATAATTCAGACAATTCAGATAGAAACAAAATAAATTCAAGTAAAATAAAAGTAACATAACATAAAAAAATTCTTTCGTATAAAAAAATATTTATTCTAGATTTTTATGAGTTTTAGATGTGTTATAGCATATAAATATGTTGAGTTTTAGATGTGTTATAGCATATATTATGTTCTGACTCCACGATCCTTCTCTTTCGAGAATTATCATCTATTAATTTTTCTTACATTATAATAAAACGAGTGAATGGACGTCTAGAACTTTAAATAATTATCAAAACAACGGCTAACCTACTACTCAATCAGCCTTATTGTTCGAAGTCAAGATAACGGAATTAGACAAAAGCAGAGGAAGTGACAAACACGCGAGCATTGTGATGATCAAATCTGCAGGAAATAAGATATATCGAATTTTCTCGTCCCGATTATACATGCATAGCACTCTTCTAGGGCACAATCATCATTTTTTTCTAATAAATGAAGTCTCGGTGCCGGACATTTTCGTTCCCATTAATTATTAGAGTCAGTGATAATATCAAACATTTTTCCGATTTTCATCGTCAATACTGCTCGCTTGTATCACCTTCCGGGTTCCGAAACTCATCAACTCTTCACCATATCAATCAGCAAATAGTAAGTTTCAGATTTACATTTATTCAACAGTAGGTTTAAATTATTTCAGTCTCTTCTTATTTCCATTTCTTCTTCTTTTATTTTTACCTTTCATTCTTTCTCTTTTCAACTTTGCTTTTGCCGTTGGATCAGTAATGGGCATTTTAAGGCAAGGATCACGAGAGAGTCAGGGAATAATGTATACACGAGAAAGCACGTCCGTGAAAACTCGAAAGTTCGGCTGGTGTTGAATAGTAGAGGCTAGTGAATTTAGTCCTGTCTCTCTCACGCTTTATTCTTACAGCTAGCCTGCTCGTTCGACGATTTTGACTTGTCAATCGTGCTTTAGCACATGGGCTGCATTCGCTTTAACATTTACAGCGTTTGTAAGCATTATATCTGTAACATTGATATAAAATGTTTGTCACATTAAAAAAAATAAAAATAGTTATATCTGTAATTAGAAAATAATAAAAAATAGACATAAGAAAAGATAGAAAAATTAAATATATAAAAAACTTTATTATATTTTAACTTCATTATATTTTTTTGTATTTTTGTATTTTTATATTTTGTAACGGAGCGCATCCTTCCGCTCCGTTCCTCCTCCGGATTTCCCCCGACCGACCATCCGTCGGGGACCGCCGAACATCAGGCGGAGTGCGGCAGTGGCCGCAAAGAGGCAGCAATGCCTCCTTTTTAATTTCTTGTACACGCGAACTCCGAAAGCGTCGGAGAATACCGCGAAAACACGTATGTTTTCGTGGTATTTCCCCGCACCGCGCCAAGCGTCGCGTCAACAAGCGCGAACGCACCCCGCGCCGCACCACGCACCGTACCAACGAACGCGAAAGCGTCCCGCACCGCACCGACGCCGCGCCACGCAACCGAGCGAGCGTCCCGCACCGCGCCACGACCGCGTCCACAAGCGCGCAACCACCCCGCACCGCGCCGCTACCTTCCCTACGAATTCCTTCCCTACCCAAAAAACCAATCATCCCCCCGATCCTTTTTTTCCGCTCCTGGGGAGAGGGATGCCAACCCCGAGATCGACCAATCCGACCGATCCGACCGAAAATACCGAGGTCGATCTCGGATATAAAAAGGCATCACTCTCCACAGGAAATCACTCACTCTCCGTTTACTCCTGTTCCTAGTTCGTTTCCGAGAGCTCGCCTCGAGGAAACGATCTTCCGAAACCGGCAGCAAGCCTGAGATTGTTGGGGCTCTCCCCAACGCGCCAAGTTCGCTTGGCCTGGCCAAAAGCCGTCTCCGTAGCTCGCACGGCAAGCCGAGAGTTGCTGGGATCTCCCCAGCGCGTCGAGTTCGCTCGACCCGACTCTGCCGTTCCGAGATTTCACCGCCGAGTACCGGGGTTCTCCCCGATACTACCTCTCCGAG